CATTTTGATAAACGTGATTCATCTTGGATATTTCGGATGCCTTGTCAGCCTCATCATCTTGTATGATACACAGAGCATCAATCCAGACATATGGTATTTTTAACGCCCCAGCCAGATTGAAAACGTCTTGGAATAGCTGCGGCAGCTCGGATACGTTTACACCCCGCTCGAACTTCTCGATATTACATCGCAGCAGCTTCGGCATCTGACTCCGCCATTTGTGGCTGACCGTGATATACACAGGGGCTTCTGAGATCAACGTGTGTGCCGTGGCTACAATCTTCACTTTTAGCGGACTAATCGCAAGCAAGCGCGATGGTATCGTTGCTGCCGTCCGGATATCGGAAAGCTGATTGCAGCGCTTGTGGTTTTTGGAACACTCTTTGAACCATGCGGAAGCCTGATCCATGCATCGTTGGTCGCTGGTGCTATTGGGTAGAGCAGGCAAAGCAAGTTGGGTAAGAGAAGGATTGCTTTGCTCAACTTGAAAACTTGTCCGTTGATAAGGTGGAGCCGGACTGCTGTACCACGTTGTCGGTATAAGCTTCATTTCGAATGTCGTCGCCCATAATGAGTCCTCTCCGCTCTCTTTCATGGCAACGCTCCAAGGTCCGTCGTCCCTCCTACTGAGATCTAGGGACATTTCCCAACATGAGCATACTTCGCCCCGGCTCTGATGCGGAAGCCACGCGAATGCTTTGCATAAAGGGCAACCGCGTTCTGCCGACAGCACGATATTACGTCCCTCACGCGTGACTCGACACGTATCAGTCACATCCTTATCCGGCTGTATAAGGATTTCCTGGCAACCAGCGCAGACGGATTGTTCATTTGTCGGCGGCGGGGGCGAAGAACGCAGGACAGACTCCATATTGATCAATCTACGCGGAAGTAGTTAGCTTTAGAGAAGCTGCAGGTTGCAAGATTGTTAGATGGAGACAAATACACCGCAGCATCTGCTATTGGTGTTAAACAAAGAACAGACAATGTGACATTAGTAGACGCCGAAGAATCAAAAAGAGAAGATGTTCTTGTGCCTACCTGCATGTGTGCAGCGCGTGTTGAAGATGAAGCGAATTGACATCTAGCTAAGGCACACCGATGCCAAAAGGATGTGATTGTATGAGACCAGCTACTGTTATGGGGGCAGTGGTCACCGGGCGCGGGCCTCAGTAGACGATGCGATGGTTACCGGAAAGAGCACTCAGTAGGACGCGGTCGCTGACAAGAGAGACAAGTTCGTGATCGTCCTGAGGTTGACTCGGCGCGTTGTTTGATATGGCCAAGCGAATGGAATAATCTATTATTCTTACTTCTGTATCTCTGTTACCAGATCAGGTGTGTTGCTCTTTCCATGATGAAACAGACTGTCGCGAACGGCGGTTGCCTTCGTAGCATACCCCGCACCACGAGGCAGGCTACCCTCTGAAAGTGGCTTTGCACATGTCTACCACTGATGTCATCGGTGCCTTCCTCTCAGCACGGTCCTTCAACCGACTGAATTCGTATTCGCGGAACTTGTTAATCGGTATCATACAATTGTGATCGTGTGGCGCTCGCTTCTAGACAGGTCCCAATCATCGAACTCACGGTACTCGCAGGGTTCGTCACTACAGCCCAAACAATGCCTGAACATGCCAATCCTCCGATAAGTTTGCAACCGCTGATCTATACATTCGACGATCAATCCAAGCAGCACTCTGACTTCATCCATTTTGCGCGAAGTCCCGAATGTCGTATCGTAGTGATGGAGGATAAAATGAAAGCCGCCGCTAGAGGACCGGAGCGCATCTGCAGTGCATCCGGCATCGTAAACCTCGTAGCTGAAGGGGAAAGAGTCGATGATTAGGGGTGTTTTCTCGTAATGTCTTCCACTGCTCCGTACCATGTGGCCAGAGATTCGCAATTTACCGCTAGATAGTCTGCCTGAACCCAGTTCATCGTCCTGTTTCGTCTCGATAGACTCGACTCTGGCGATAATCTTCTCTGAGGATGAGGATTCGTTTGAGTCCCAATGCATCGGAAACCCCACTGGAATGGCAACCGACGCCCATGACCAAGATGGTGCTGCTCTTGTAAGTCAAAAGTGGGACCGGCTGCTGCTAGGTGATAATACCTCTATACTTCTCTGGGTAGACTTCAAGCTGGCGTCCATGTATTTCGTGCTTTACAAACCATGCAAGCTCATGGATTATATCATTGCGCCACATTCCCACCAGATAGTCATCTTGAAGTACCTCTTCAAACTGACGCTGAAGGCCTAACAGGGCCGGGAAACAATCCTCTCCGAAAGATAATTTGCAGCTTGAGAACCATTCAACAACTTGCATCCAGCTTCGATACACATCAGACTTGTAGTGTTCTCCTACTCGAGATGGAACGTTCTCTTCGAGTAGTGTGGTAATGCGGAGAGGGAAAGAATGTCCAAACCTCACGCTAAAGAAAGGCTGTGCCTTCTTCTCCGGAAAGGATTCACATGCCGAGGTCTCGGTGCATTCCCAGTGTATTTGTTCTCCGTAATAGATCGACCTCGGACTGAGTAAACGCTCTTGCAACACCCATCCGCGACCCATGAGCGGGGCCTTCGCAATCTCTTCAAAAGCGGCGGACCCGTAGACTCGAAGCTGCAAGTCTTTACCAAGCCATCTAATATTAACAGCGAAAGGCGTATGTTGCCTCGGATCGCGCGTCGTGAATAAGCCAACCCCCGTTTCCTTTGTCGTCCCTTGATCCAGAAGGCCACCAATGTTCAGCAGCGCGCCTTGGTAAATCTTCCCCATCAAAGCAATCTCTCGATGCACATCGGCGACGTCGTCTTGAATGATGCATAGCGCATCTATCCAGAGATATTCGATACTCAGTTCTCTAACGAGAAAGATGGCATCTTGAAAGGTTCGTGGTAAGGCCTCCTGGTCAATTCCTCGTTGCATTCTCGAAAGGTTATCTCGCAGCAGCTTCGGCGTTATGCTGGCTTGCCATCTGTGACTCAGCGTTACGTAGTGCGCAGTTCCAAGATCATCGATATCGTCTTTCAGGACAAGCCGCACGTAGTCTTTTTCTAGACACAATAGACGCGCAGGAAACGTGGCGTAAGTGTGGGTCAGTCTTGCCTTCCCACATCGTTCATGACTTCCTAAACAGTGCTGCATCCAGTTCGACGCCTGATCGAGACATCTTTGGTCTTTTGTGTGTCGCGCCATGAGGCTTGTCGGTACCATGAAGCCTTTGTTCGGGGCGTTGTGTTCCATATACAGATAGTGCGATGTATCTTTCGTATCATCTTTCGGGTAGATGCGAAAGACTCCTGGAATAAACCAGGGATTTTGCGCAGACACATCTAGGCCGCTATTGAGCTCCAAATTCTTGATAGAGCCGTATTTCTCTGTGAGTGTGCATTGGTGGCAAATGCAAATTCGGCAACCCTTTGCAGCTGCATCAGCAATGCATCGTGGATCGTAAGTAACCGCTTTGTACTTTCCATCAGATTCTTCCGGAATATCGAAAGCCCTCTGGCACACGGTACATAGTGAAGCATCCTCTAAAGCCATGTTGGCGATGGGTTCTCAGGATTATGCGATTTGGTCCATCCAAATCAGCGGGGAACTATATTTAAGTACCGATAGACTGTCGAGAAGTCAGTTGCATAATCTGGCAATAATTTGACCCTGAAGCAGGGACCAAGGCTTCGAGTGTGCCTCTTGCGATACCTACGTAGTAGTGAATGGATGAATGCTCACTATCGTTACTGGGGCTCATCCCGATAACCTGTAGCACACATCGAACGTGGAATGAACAGCAAGATAGCATTAGCTCATATTCAGCTGTAGGATGAGCTATCGGTACCCTTGGATCAGGTTCATTGTTCGCATGGAAGAACCTTACCCCGCACTGCGACATTGGGATTAGGCAGCCGGTTCAAGCATGTCGTCACTTCTGCCAAGATCAATACCAAACAATACAGTATGATACTATACTGGACGTGCAATGGGTTAGATCACCAGATATGTTGTTATGGAAGACTAGAGACGAATCGCCATTGAGCCACGATAGCGATGAGCTGGTGTTTATCTCCGTTGGTAAGTCCGCCTTGAGGTGGCAGCCTGGGACTTGCCAATCAAGGCATCTCATTCCTCTCTTATCTGTATATATCATTCCCAGCTAGTGTAGGATTCCGCTTCTGCGATAGCGTGCAGCTGTTACGATAGTGCTGCTCTACCATTGTCTCTTGTTGGTTTAACGCGTTGTTTCCACGCTTTGATCCGCAGACTACTGCGTGCGGTCTCTCAACTTTCGTCTTTGCATAGTCATTTGCAAGTACGCAGAATTCATCATGAATTGCTCTCTCGTCTCTGATGATAGCTTCGGCCCTCAGTATTGCGACGACTTCGACTTCACACTATTCTTCGAACAGAGCTTCTTCCAGATTGCGCCATGCGCTCTACTACTCCTCGCTCTCCCAATACGAGCCTCTCAATTGCGACGACAAGAAGCGAAGTGCGAGAGATCATGGACGCGCCTTTGCAAGCAAACCATCATATCATTCTTGGCTCTGAGCCAATGCGCTTTACTAGTATCTTGGGCGCTTACAAAGAATACTAGTCAAACCGCTGGGGCAGCGGCAAGCTTGTCTTTCCTTGCTTGCTTGGGCCTGCTTTGGCTGTCTTCCGTTGAGCACATGCGCTCAGCGAAGCCCAGCGATGTCATCAGCGTCTTCATCCTCATATCGATCATCCTGGACATTCCACAGGCTCGTACCTTATGGCTGCGTCATCGCTCAGACACCGCCGTCGCGGCCACTTTTACTGCTTGCCTAGCCATCAAGATTGTCATACTCTTTTTCGAAGCACGATCCAAGAGACCATGGCTGCTTCCACCATATCAAGCCTACGCGCCGGAGGCACTCGCAAATATCTTCGATCGAACTGTGCTGTGGTGGCTTGGCCCACTCTTTCTCCTCGCGTATCGAAAGAACATTAAGTTCGAGGATTTGTACGGTATCGATGACAGTCTGTTATCCGAATCAGTGGAGGATCGGTTTATGCACTATTGGTCACGCTTTCGTAAGTCAGACTTCGATACCACTTAAGCCTGCTTCTGACTAGATTAACAGGCCAATACAACGTCAAAAAGCGCCCTCTACTGCAAGCAATGGTCCTGACAACGAAGTGGAGTCTACTTGCGACTATATTGCCACGTCTCTGTCTCAGCGCTGTGAAGCTCACCCAGCCTCTTCTGATTGACAGAATAACAAAATGGCTTGGTGATGCCTCGCGAGATCATGATACCGGGAAAGGTTTGATTGCCGCGACGATGCTCATCTACCTGGTTATGGCCCTCTTGACTGTGACGTACAGAAGGCAGGCCGACCGATTTCTCACTACGCTGCGCGGGATTTTCATCTCCGCATTGCATTCGCAGAGCTTGGCCCTTTCCAACACCCAGCTCTCAGATGGGAATATGCTCACGCTAGTGAGCACCGACGTGTTGCGCATTGGCATGAGCTTGCAGCGAGTCGGAGAGATGTTCGCTGCCCCGTTCGAGATTATCGGTGTTGCCGCCTTACTAGCTCGTCAAAGCGGTAATTCTTGCATTGCTCCGATCGCAGTGGGGATCGCAGTGCCCATCATTAGTGCTGTCAATAGCAAACGAGGTCTGCCGATGCAGAAAATCTGGCTCGAAGCCATTCAACGACGGGTCGCATACACGACAGCCGTGCTCGGTTGCTCCAAAGGCTTCAAGATGCTGGGGTTGACCGAGTTCCTGTCGAATCAGATTCAAGGGCTGAGAGTGAAGGAACTTGCTGACTATGCTGGATACCGGAAATTTGTCGCTGTCAGGGAAACGCTTGCTTCAGTACCCAATGCCTTGGGGCCTACTCTTACCCTCATGATGTTTACCCTGATCAATGGTGGTGACAAGCTGACTCCGAGTGTGGCATTCAGTACTTTGTCGTTGGTCTCGCTTCTGTCCGCGCCGATACAACAGGTGGTGTGGGCCATTATTGACCTCCAGTTGGCCCAGACGAGCCTTTTGCGCATTCAGGCCTTTCTGCTTAGCGACGATGGCAACAACGTTGAGCCCTCGTTCGATATAAACAGTGCTTCCTCATCCATTGAGATGACGGCGATGGTTCCAAATGGCGTTAGTCTGACCGATGCGACAGTATACGCCGGTGGCAATCCTCAACGGCCTATCCTTAAAGACATCTCCCTAGATCTACAAAAAGGGTTTTTCGCCCTCGTACTCGGACCAGTAGGATGTGGGAAGTCAACTCTACTTCGTGCTGTCATTGGCGACATGAAGCTGGATGGTGGCAGTCGCACCGTTTCGAGACATTTCCACTCATTCGCATTATGCTCTCAAGAACCCTGGCTGCCCAACGACTCGATCCGGAACATTATCCTTGGAGAGTCCGATTACGATTCGATTTGGTACAGCACGGTTGTGAACGCATGCGCATTATCGACCGACGTTGCCCGATTTCCGGCCGGAGATCACACAACTGTAGGTAACCAAGGCATGTCGCTGAGTGGAGGACAGAAGCAACGTCTCGCCCTCGCAAGAGCGCTCTATTCGCGGATCCCTGTTTTGGTACTGGACGACATTTTCAGTGGCCTGGACATCAACTCTCTCAAACATATTGCTGGATCTGTCTTCGGCTCCTCCGGTATAGCCAAGCGGCATGGTCTTACAATCCTCATGACCACTCATACCGCCACGTATTTTGTCCAGCAGGCCGATCGGATAGTCGTCTTGGGAAGTGACGGTAGAATTACTGAGCAAGGGTCGTTCGAGAAGCTGACAAGCAATCCGAACAGTTTTCTTCATACCATCGAGCTTCGGGAAGAGAACGCAGCCAATACGTCCGAAGAGCCAAACGATGCTGTTCAAATTCCGACGAATCCGGTCGGCGAGTCAGACGATGCTCTGGAGTCTCCCTCTGCACGCCGGACTGGAGAGTTCTCTACCTATGCATACTGGTTCAGATCATTCGGATTGAGATTTTCCCTTCTGTTCCTAGCCGCAACATTGTTGGCAGGGTTCTTCTGGAAGTTTATGGAGATCTGGGTTCGGTGGTGGTCTGACGCAGAAGCATCGCGACACTCTCTGGGATATTGGATCGGTTGGCATATTGCGTTCGCGCTGCTCGCATTGTTGTTCGATTTTGCCAAATTCTGGACTATCCTCGTGTGGGCCGTACCTCACTCATCAGCGCACCTCCATCAACGCATCTTGAGCAGCGTAATGAACGCCCCATACTGGTTCTTCTTCAAGACGAATCTGGGGTCGATCGTGAATCGCTTCTCCAATGACATGACGTTGATCGAGAGCGCTGCTGCCGGTCCTATCTTGCAAGCTTCGGAGAGCCTTACGATGGTATTGGGCAGCGCAGCATTGATACTGGCCGGATCGAGCTACGCCAGTGCCACTCTGCCGTTCCTGCTTTTGGCGGTCTATCTATTACAGCGATTTTACCTTCGCACGTCGCGCCAGCTCCGTCACATGGACCTCGAAACACAGGCGCCTTTGGTTGACGCGATCCAGGAGACGATGTATGGCGTTTCGACCATTCGCGCCTTTGGATGGCAATCTGCTTCCCATGGGAAATTCATCAGCCTTTTGGACCGTTCTCAACGCCCGCATTACCTTCTGCTGTGTATCCAACGATGGTTGGGCCTCATGCTGGACCTTCTGACAGCTGTGATCGCCACCGCTGTCGTAGCCCTAGCTGTCAGCGTGCCGTCGACATCATCTGCGAGTTCTCTAGGTTTAGCCTTGCTCAACATCTTGGGGTTTAACGGTCAACTCTCCACTTTCGTAGTCGCCTGGACAACGATCGAGACGTCTGCCAGTGCCGTCTTTCGCTGCCAGAATTTCGAACGAACGACTCCAGACGAGCAATCGCGACTGGAAATTGCGAAAACGAATGAACACTGGCCGGTAGAAGGGAAGATCATCATCCAAGACTTGCGCGCTACCTATACCCCTGATGGTCCAGATATTCTCCACGGTATCAACCTTCGCATTGCACCAGGAACCAAAGTCGGCGTCTGCGGCAGGTCGGGAAGTGGAAAATCTTCTCTTTTGCTCTCGGTTTTCCACATGCTAGAAAACATTCCCAGTGGCAGTGTTTCCATCGATGATGTTGATATTACTACGCTTCCTCGAAGCTCACTCAGGGAACGCCTGACAGCGATTCCTCAAGAGACACTGATCATGCCTGGTTCGATGAGGGAGAATATGGACCCTTTGCAAAAGAGGAGTGTCGACGAGATGAACTCGGCTTTGGAGAAAGTCGGCCTCGCTTCACTGGTCGCTGATCGGGGTGGTATCGAAAGTGACATGGCCGACATTGGTCTGTCTCAAGGTGAACTACAACTATTCGCTGTTGCCAGGGCACTTCTACGCCCAAGCAAGATCCTGGCGGTGGACGAGATGACCTCTTCTATGGATTCGTTGTCAGAAAAGGTGATTCTTGATCTTGTGCGAACCGAGTTTGAAGGCAGTACAGTTGTAGCGGTTGCGCACCGGCTGGCTACCATTGTTGACTTTGACACCATTGTAGTCTTGGACGCGGGGCGCCTAGTTGAGTCTGGGCACCCCCATGAACTGCTTCAGAAACCGGACGGGCAGTTCCGGAGGATGTGGGACCAGCAGGAGTCACAGGATCGGTAAGTACCAATAGTTGAGTAGCTGGCCCATATACAAATGCCCAAACTCAGACCCAAGGCCGGGACATGTCCTGCTCTTATCATCTTGTTACATCTATCACAGTCCGTGACGCCGTTCGTGCTGATAAGTGATATGTAACCTTAAGCCAATTCAGGTAATGGAGCTCGTCCCAAGATACACAGTTCATGGCACCGCCCTGCATCTTGGTAGGAGTAAGCCAAGCCCTGATGATCCGACAAACCATCCCAAGCTCGAGGAAGATATCGACTGCCGACCTGCTTCTATCGGTATGCGCCTTACCGTCCCACGCGCTGCCGTGTAGCTGCCTTCTTACGCAACAGGCTCTGCGCCCATCTCCTTATGCACAAGAACGCATGTCGTCAAACTAGCCTCAACAAACGACAGCGATCATCGATGAACCGTCCTCGCTTAGCCTGTCGATCCGCCACACTGCATAAGCACGTGAAAGCCGCCGTTGTGGTGAAAAGTGGCGTGCTGTCTTTATCGCATCCTTCCCGGCAGGCCCACCTTCTCAAGAAGGAATGCCGATTATCGAGGTTCGGAGGAAGATGCATGCCGCGGTTCCATCGGGGCTCGGTAGCAGCTGATCAAAGGTGTTGTGACTCGTGATAGCCAAGCCATTGAGAAACAAAGACGAAAGGAGATTTTCTCGTAAGCTTGAGCCGCAACGCGTGATATGCAAGCTCCGCATCGGCGCCCGATGAGTAAGCGCGCTCAGCATGTGCGCCAAAACACGATTCGTGCGGTTTAGCAACACGGCAAACCTCGTCATCCACTTTCACATGCTTTGCAGGTTTCTATTCTCATTCAGGACCCAGAAGGGCCTCAACACGTTCCACCGTATTGATATCGAGACGCGCGCTGTCCTGCAATCCTGCTGATGCACAGGAGGTATCTATGCGGCACGTATGACGGAGCCAGTTCCCGTCACCGTTCAATGGCAGCGCTGGAATTGTCGACGTGATAAGAGAACCCAATTGCGAGGCGAGGACTCCTAGCTGCCATGCACGATGCCAACCGATCCATGGTAGGTTTGCGGCAAGCAATTGGACCTTCCGCGATAGCTGACGCGGAAGCGGAGTCGACGTACCGTATCATCGAGACGCGACCGATAGGACAAGAAATGCAAGCCCGACATATGCGTGTATACAGGGCGGCCAAGCTGTTTGAATATTTCGCCAACAGGAGGGGGGCGTGGCTGACCTTATCTGACGTCGCCGCGTCGTGAGTGGCCAAAGCGTCGCGTCTTTCACATGCCAGGCGCAAGCTGTACGCCTTGCAGGCCAGCTCCTCAACGCTCAACGGGCGCGCGATAGAGTTCGAGACGCGGGGCAGACATGAAGGCAGCATGTTGCGGCTTGCTCTGTGTAACGTCTGACTTGCATCGACTCCGCACGCTGAGTCTCAACGTTCGAGACGAGATGCGAGGCGAGAAGGCGACTTTGGGTAGTGACGTTCTGGTAGGTCCCCGCGTAGATTGACATGGCGCTTGTCGACGATAGCCACTTTCACATGCCACTGCATCTGCTTCACCCCAGCCCACTGAACCACGCCCTTTTCAGCAAAGCCTCCCAACCAAATACAGTCACATCATAGCGCACAGCCGTATAATAAGGTCGACCAGGACCCTTTTCTCTTGCTCTACGTTACTGCTACTCCTCCACTGCCTCGCAACCCAACAATTCTTCTTCCACCACAGTAGAACCTGCAACACTGCATATCTACTACTACGATTAATGGCACCACACGCAACTGACGACGGCAACATGAGCTCCCAGGCGCCTATGACCAACGGCGAGACGCCCAGCTCAAAAGCCTTGTCGGTATGTACTTCTTACTTTTCCTCTTTCTCATCACACCCGCAAACACGTCTCTTCACACACATCATGGGTCACTTTGCTGCGATCTGGCATTGATTGCGGACCGTCGCGGGGTTTCGAGCACCTGGGAACCGCAATCTACTCGGACCAGTAACACGGCGCACGAAACCCACGATGCAGGCGCGGAGCTTATGGCCCAGCCAATCAACCCAGCATTCCGCGAACCTTCTTACAGCATGAACCCTACTTCGCGGAAGCCGTCCGACAAGCTTCCGTGGGAACTTCCGCAACTGCCTACTTTGAGATTCGATAGATGAGCACGAGACTAACAGCCTCTAGCATCTCAACTCCTACCCCGTAGTCCACGACAGCGTCGAGACTTTCAAATCCAACCCCTACGGCTCGCGCGCACTCAACCTCGCCAGCAATACCTACAACTCGGTCGTTGCACCCTTCCACCCTTACCTGCGCACACCATACTCCTACCTCTCACCTTATCTGGCACGCGCCGACCAGCTCGGTGACTCTGGCCTTTCCACTCTCGAGACACACCTCCCCATCGTCAAGGAAGACACGTCAAAACTCAAGGAGTACGCTTTCTCGCCCGTCACATATGTGCGAAGCACCTGGGAAGACGAGTACAAGAAGACGCACTACAACAACGGTGTTGTCAAGATGGGTGTTGCGACAGTCAGCTTCGAGCTCAGGATGGTGAGCGATGCGTGTGACGTCGTGCTGGGATACCTGAACAAGGGCAAGGAGCAGACGAAGAAGAAGGTCGATGAGGTTAAGCAGTAGAGTGCGACTATGACCTGCATAGTATCTAGGGGCGTTTGTACGATGAAAGCCGAGGTGATTAGGGCTCGCTGATCGGAAAAGCAAAGGCGAAGGGGCGTCCATCAGTATGGCTTGTCGATGTAACGTCGAGTAACTTTCTTGCGCCTGTCTGCGCCTTTCCTTCAAAGATAGACCGGTTAATGACATGATATCCCTTCTGTTCAATCGATTGGTGTTCACTGTGCACTGTATCAGCATGTGAACCGAACCAGCAAGGGCCTAGATGGCTTCTTGATTGACGGGACCGAGGCCGTCTGCTTCATTACATCGTCGCACGTGAAGGCAGCAATACGAGACGCTCGGGTCGTGGTGTACTGCATCGGCTCGTCATTTCGCTTCGGTAATGCCATAGTCGTTCTAATCCCACACTGTCAGCATGAGCCTCACTGCATCATCAGTATCATCCAATAGTAGACAGTGGCCAACGTGAAAATCATGTTCATTTCATGAAGTTCGTGAATTGAGCCGGATGCCTTGAGCGGATGCCGGATTTTCCATGCTTTGATTATCAAGCCGAAATACACGCCTGGACGGCAGGCCGGTTGTGTGTCCTGTCATCCTATGATATCCACCGCTCATGCAGCATCTTCCGTATCAAATCATGCCCATCTGCGCCCAGCCGTAACCGAAGGAAAGCTTAGAACTGTAAGGGAGTGAAGAACCACCTGTTCTTTCCGGACTGGTATCGCTCCTCGAATGCCTTCTTGACGGTCTTCTTGGCCTCCTCCCGTTGCGAGACCTCCTTGAATGTGTCGGCGGAGATGACGCCCTTGAGGTTCTCGAGCTCGATGGTGTAGCGGGTGGGCATAATGTGGGTGTCTGCGTCTATCAGCGTCTGCCCAGCGAGTGCGTCCTCATGTCCACGTACAGTTGACCTGCTTGACGAAAGGCTTGACCTTGCTCTTCTTGGCCTGCTTGGTCTTTGACATGCGGCGGGTGACCTTGGAGGGGTAGGTCTCGATACCGGCAACGAGCGCGTGGGGGAAGGGGTGCGACTTGGTGCCGTTGTCAAGTGGTGAGATGATCACGCACTTCTTTCCGGCGTAGCGGCCCCGGGTGATGATCTAGGCGGACTGTGAGTGAGTGCGATGGGGGTATTTCGAGCGATTCAAACGTACGACAACGCGTCCGACCTTGAGGCTGGTGAAATGTTAGCAGCTGTTCTGTCGCATGTTGTGGGCTTTCCAGGGTGCGATTATTGGCGTCCCGCTGCGCAATTCGGGGAGCACTGCGGGGCGCCAATTTGTATCGCAGAGAGGATCGTGTGCAGCATCGGGGCACTCACAACTTCATTTTGGCTGTTGTCCGGGTTAGTGATGGGGTTCTTGGTCCTGGAGTTCGAGGTTGTCGCCAGAGCAAAAATGGTGTGTGGCATGTCGCTTGATCCGATGAGTTTGGCCGGCGCCGCCCCACATTAATTCTTAGCGCCAAACACGCTGGTTGGCTGGCCCCGCCGCCGCCTCTAGGAAATCTTGAAGACCCGCAAAGTTCGCGACGGGCAGTCGACACAGCTGGACAACCACCACCATGAAGATCAAGGCCCTCAGCCGGTCCACGGCGTCCACCCAGGCCCCCGGCTCCAGCGTCGCCAAGGTCACGAGGAACCTCGACCCCAACCTGCATCCGTTTGAACGTGCGCGCGAATACACCAGAGCCCTCAATGCGACAAAAGTCGAGCGCATGTTTGCGCAGCCCTTCCTCGGCGATTTCGAGCCTGGCCACGTAGACGGTGTATACTCCTTCGCCAAGGATCCCAACTCCCTCGAGCATTTCGCCAGTGGCAGTGGCGACGGCATCGTCAAGGTCTGGGACTTTACCAGCAGGGAGGAGAAGTGGCAGGCGCAGGCGCATGAGAACCTCGTCAAGGGCATGTGCTGGACGCGGGACAGGAAACTCATAACCTGTGGATCAGATCGCCAGATTCAGCTGTTCGAGCCATATGCGCAAGCCTCGAAATCGGCGCCAAAAGCAACATGGCACGGCAACTCAGCCTTCACCTCTGTCTCGCACCATCGCTCGTTACCGACCTTTGCTGCTGGATCCAGCTCCATCTCCATATACGATACATCGAGGACATCTGGCGCCCCTGTTTCCAACCTTGTGTGGCCGTCGGTAGGTCTTTCATGCAGAGCAGACCTAAGGCATATACTAACATTCAGTAGGCCATTGACACCATCACGGATGTCAAGTTCAACCAGGTCGAAACCTCGATACTCGCGTCATGTGCGACCGACCGCGCTGTCATCCTCTACGACGCCCGCACGAACTCACCCCTACACCGCACTGTGCTCAACTTCCCCGCGAACTGCATCTCCTGGAATCCCATGGAAGCCTACAACTTCGCCGTTGCTTCGGAAGACCACAATGGATACATATTCGACATGCGCAACATGAAGCGTGCGCTGCAAGTCTTGGTAAGTCTCCCATTCCGAGGTCAGGCCAGACTCATTACTAACACCAAATAGAAAGGACATGTTGCCGCAGTCATGTCGATCGAGTTCTCTCCGACCGGAGAAGAGCTCATCACTGGTTCCTACGACCGATCCATAAGGATCTGGGAGCGATCAAAGGGCCACGCCCGGGACGTCTACCACACCAAGCGAATGCAGCGTGTCTTCTCTGTCGCATGGAGTCCCGACAACAACTACGTACTCAGCGGATCAGACGATGGCAACGTCCGTCTATGGAGAGCGAGAGCTTCTGAGAGGCAGGGCGTCAAGTCATTCGCCCTAAAGCAGAAGCTAGAATATGACGCAGCGCTCAAGGAGCGATACAAGCACATGCCAGAGATCAAGCGCATCGAGAAACACAGGCATCTGCCCAAGACTGTCAAGAAGGCGGGTGAGATCAAGAACGAGGAGCTCAAGGCTGTCAAGAGGAAGGAAGAAAATGAGAGGAGGCATACGAAGAAGGGCACAGTCCGGAGAAAGGCAGAGCGTGAGAAGATGATCTTGGCGAGAGAGCAATGATAAGTCAAAAGAAGGGTTTAGTATATGTTTTGCATAGCGTTGGCGTTCTTGGTCTTCGGGTAGAGGACCTGCGGTACTATACGATGCATCTGAGGGTGTTGATCGTAGTTCAAAAGATATGGAATATTTGACTCCATCATCCTGCCTTTCCAGCAACAAATGCTTGCATTGAAACCGATGCTTTTCGAACGTTGACACACGTGACGTCGCGTGATTGCGTCATACCTCGGTCTAATAGCTACCCCAATGTAATCCACAGGACGAAAGGGCGCGAAAAGTGACATTTGACCGAGATCAAACAGCATACTTCACTATCCGGCTTGGAACCTTCAGACCCCTCTGAGTTGCGCCTTTTTACTCCCAATCAGCAATATACCAATCTGAGCCGCCCGGATCGCAAACATGGCATCTAGATCCGCGCTCCACATCCAAGACACCAAGTTCAACGATCTCGGTCTCTCAAAGTCCACTTTGAACAAGGAGAAAGTCTGCTGCTACACGCGCTCGCTAGAGAACGCCAGCGATGACAACCCCATACTCGTTCTCATTCATGGTTATCCACAATCGGCTTACATGTAACTTCCTCTTATCCCTATCACTGCACTTCATACATCAGATGATCTGACAAAAGGCTAGGTGGCGCCACATAATCCCTCTTCTCCCATCCAAGGCACCGCTTTTCGTTCCAGATCTTCCTGGCTACGGCGCTAGTGCACCGATTGAGCGGAATGATAAAGTGAGCATTGGGACGGCAATACTCGAGGCGCTAAAGACGGAGGTCAAGAAGAGTAAGAGCGCAGATGGAGATGTGAAGGTCATACTCATTGGCCATGATCGTGGAGCGAGAGTTGCCCATCACCTCACTGTCAGCGGGGTCAATGGAGTGAAGATCTTGGGTGTTTGTTTGATCGATATCGTAAGTTTATCTCTGACATATGCTTCAACAGATTTATGCTGATCTTACAGGTTCCGACCTCCACACAATGGCAGCACTTCACCTCTCCAGCCACCGCCGCAAAGGAGATAACGGGCTACTTCCACTGGCCCCTACTCGCAAACGTCGACTTAGCAACGCGCATGATCACCGCTTTCGGCCCGTCAAAATGGTGTCAAGAGATGATCCTACGTTGGTCTGGAAAGAGCAACGCCGGTATCGAGAAACTGAAGGCCAATGATGCATTGACCGTCTATGGCGATTTCTTCAACCAAGAACATACGCTGAAAGCTACTTGTGAAGACTACAAGGAAGGTGCTACGACGGATGTTGAAAGAGAGGAGAAGAACCAGAAGGAGGGCAAGAAGATTGAGGTGCCGTTGTTATTGGTATACAGTGCTGCGAGCATTGGGAGTAGGTTTGACTTTCCGGATGTGTGGAAGGAGTGGGTGGGTGAGGGAGTCAAGATTGAGAATCATGGGTTGGGGGATGGGGTAGGACATTTTGGGGCGGAGGAGGCGCCTGAGGAATGTGCGGAGGTTATTAACCGCTGGCTTGGAACGGTGTTTTAACGTCATTTGGATAGCTATCAATCTACTTGATTCTGCGTGTCATACCCCGTTAGATCTTGCTGAGATACGCCCGCAGTCTTTGACGGAAGATGTAAATCATAACTCTGTTCATCGAGGCTCTTGACTGAGTCGCATAGCTGGCTAAGGATAGCAAACTCGACCTTTAGTTTCACGCTGTAACCAAAGCCCTTGAAGCTACACCAGACACCCCAAAGCGCCATATATTCCAGGGTTATGGTGCAAACATCGATGAAGATGATAAAGACATTGGCTAGGAAGAGCAACCGAATTCTTCGACGGCATCCTTTTCTCTGAAGGGTCTCTCCCATCCGGCATATGCGCACTGCCGCCCCCAAGTACACCACAGATATGATGATCTCTTGGGTAGTGAGAACGGCAACAGATATCCGTTCCATTATTACGAACGGCTTGTAAGACGGGTCGATCGCGCCATTCTTCACTGCCTGTGGATCCAGTAAGCACGACGTCTTCTTGTCATCTGCCGGACTCACCAAAAGCGAAAAAACGAATTGAGGCCCATGCATGCATAAGCCGTTGACAATGATCATGCACAAAATGAGACGCAGCTTCCAAACACTGCGACATACAAGGTGCAGCCGTGACCAAAGTACCAACGATTGGCCTGTGACCATTGCACTCCACCCAAGCCCGATGCTTGCAATCACCCCGTATGCATTTAGGTACGGAGCGAAGATCATGAGAAAGACGTTGATTTGATAGACAAGTACTCCCAGAGTTGCTTCGAGCAAGCAGTAGAAGTACTTACCGGACCAGCGCTTGAACGTGAGAAATATGGTGACTAGAAGCTCAGCGCCATTAAACCTATCAGGGTAAGTGTGTATCATGCGCACAAGAGTAGCTTGCCCACTTACCATGTCATCCCCGTGAGAGCTATGAACACGACTACCTCGAGTGTCGAGCTCAACGGCCCTACTACCAAGGACTGCTGCGCGGATGTCATCAAGTAGAAGTTGGTATAGAACGCTGAGTGAGTGCGGAGTAAGATGGTTAGTGCTGAATGAGGGACTCTTGATGCGATGCTTGAAAGCTTATCCCGGAGGCTGGCACTGGTCAAGCATGATGATCATTGCGGCGCAGACAGTAACAGTCAATAATACAACACTTGAGCAACATATCCTTTCGGTAGATATGCATGGGGCCAGTGACGATCGGTAGACACCATGCGTGGGAGTTGCTCCTTTTGGAGTTGCGGCGTGGAGTTCTCGCCTGGGGATTTTGTTGTCCAATCTCGGTTGAGAATGGGATGATGCGGCACAGGCGGCTTTGGTAGATACAATGAGGTGACGCGTATTATCATGCTGATTGCGCGCTGTTCAGCATCGTGACGACCTTCGAATAACGCATGAGTTGGTGTAGTGGAAATGTCGTGGGGTATCGAAGTGGCGGGTGTGGCTGACGAGTCAGCGGAGGGAAGAGAGTGCCGTCCCGGGCCGCCTTTGCAGCGCCTTCGCGTACGCGAACCCTCTCCTGCTCAACGCGCTGTCGCCCATCCCTTCCTGCTCCTCAGGCCAGGCACGAAAGCGTACGACAGACTAGATTAAACGAATAACTACACTAGTTCCACCAAACAGCCCCAACGACGTGCTTGTATGGAAGCAACGTTATTCCCAAGCGACTTCCCCGCCGCTACGGCGCTCTGCCGTGTAGGTCTGCATCCTTCAACTCAGCGCGTCGAATGAGCGACGCAGTAGCGTAGCGACATGTGCAGCCGATGGGCTAAAGTCCGCATTCAACTTGCCGACATCTGCGGCACAGCAAAGGCAACATATGTTGGATCTGCTCCACGGCCAGTACCTCATGAGGGTTAAGTGACTGCATGGTCCAACGCGCACGCCTCGTGCTTGCTATCTCCCCAGTCTTCGTCTCTCCGCCTCACACCCTCCACTCGAGCGCTCGCACGAAGAACCGATCACTATGCTGTTTCCGACTGTTTTTGCTTGGCTGCTATGCGCCATCCATGGCTCATCTGCGTCCGGGATAGACGACCTGAGACTCGCAGTGTCTACGTTGAACACGCGATTATCGAAAGGCGCCACTATCACGTTTCCATGGGATGCTCGTTGGGACGACCTCCAAGTCCGCGGCTCGTCCCCACGCGTATCTCCCGATTACAATGTGGTGGTCGAAGTAGCAACAGAGGCAGACGTGCAAACCACCGTGGCATTGGCCAATCGTTTCGATATTCCATTCTTGGCCGTTACAGGGGGTCATGGGTGGACCAATACGCTCAACAGACTGCCGTTCGGTATCCAGATCAACATGCGGAAGCTTAATACTACGACACTGAGTCGGGATGGCAAGACTGCTGTCGTCGGAGGCGGATCACTGCAATACGAGATCACCCGCTCCCTGTTTGCCTCGGGCAAGTATGCTGGTGAGTTTGACCCAGTCTCTACAGACATACAGCCACTGACTGTTCCTCTCAATAGTCACAGGACTTGCAGAATGTGTGTCAGTAGCCGGCCCACTGTTAGGTGGCGGCCACAGTCTACTCCAAGGTCAACACGGCTACTCTCTCGACGGTCTGGTCTCCGCACGCGTAGTACTTGCCAGTGGTAAAGTTATGGAAGCCTCCCGGACAAAGAACGCCGACCTGTTTTGGGCCCTGCAGGGAGCAGGTCATAACTTTGGCATTGTCACAGCCCTTCAAGTGAAGACCTACGACATCCCTTCCAACTGGACCGTCTATTCACTCGTCTTCACTACAGACAAAATCGAGGCGCTTTTCAGCTTGATCAACGAATTTGAAGAGCCGACTATAGAACGCCCGACAAAGCTGGCGCTCACAGGAGTGTTCGCGAGGATACCTGCCGTCGATCCTGTCAATGTAAGCAGAGCCCGGCAACATGTGTGCCAGATACTGACCCTTCACTAGCCTGTCGTAGCATACACTATCGCATACGAGGGTACGGAAGCGGAAGCTGAACCTTACGCCGCGCGTTTTATAGCGATCGGTCCTGTATCTACTACACTTTCGACAGACGTCAACTACGTAGAGCTATACACGGTCACCGGCAACAACCTCGGAAGTCAAACTTGCTGGCGCAATGAGAACATCGCAGGAGCCGGAGTTTCTCTACCCGCCTGGGATCTTCAGGGTGTCCGAGAAGCATTCACGATATTTGGGAACCTCACGGCCGATCCTCGCTTCAATACATCCGTCACCCTACTGGAAAACTACGGCATGCAAGGCGTACGGGCTATTGATACAGCTTCCACTGCATTGGCGCCCGAAGAACGCGAGTATCCTGTTCTTGCTTCGCCGGTTTTGTGGTGGGCCGGCGACGATGCGCAGACGACCAAGGATGCATATGCATACCAAGTTGCGATACGCGATGCGCTATACATGGGCGTAGACAAGAGCAACAGGAAGCGACACTGCTATGTTAATTACGCTAACGGAGAAGAGAATAGGCCTGAGATGTATGGGTACGATGCTAGGCTCGCTAAGTTGGTCAAGTTGAAGGGTGAGTGGGATCCGAAGAACAGGTTTGGATACTACAACCCAATAGTGTAGTCAGGAATGCATTCACGGTAGCAGAAGACGAAGTATTTTGAGGACGACTTTATTACTAAACTAAACGCAAGTGCGGCGAATGATGGTGCCGGGAGTAACTCGCGTCGAAAACCAGCGCAAACCGAAACGCCAAACCTCAGCCAGGAGCAGACATCGCATCTCTCCGCTGCCAAAACAAACACAAAAGTCCAGCGAAGCGACTACAGCCACTTCCAAACGGCCTCGTCATCCCCACTCGCAACGCTGCCCTCTGGATCCCAGTCGAAATCCTTTGCCTTAGGCGGCCACAGCCCCTGACACTCCAGATGCTTTGCGATAGCATCCTCCGTCAGCTCCGCCCCTGACTTCTCCTCCACCTCTTCCTCGACCCCTGACACCTCCCCCTCCCCCTCCTCAGCGGGCAGCGCGAAGGTCCTCGCAGCGTCGTGAAGCTGCTTTACGGACATCTTACAGGCATTGTCGACCTCTACGCGCGCTAGCCCCTTGCTGGCGGAAACTTTGGCCTCAGGCCCAAACTCCGAAAAGGTGTGTTTGGTCATCTTCCAGACGGTGACCTCTTTCTCAGAGGCGTTCTGGTCGATTTCTTCAACGGTATGCTTGCTAGCAGTGACCGTGAGGTGTGTGTGTAGTGATTGTCGGGTTTTTCGCTCACCCGAAACGGTTTCGGCATTGTTGAACAATCCCGCTTCGACGCAAGATTGGCCGACGCCAAGGTATTCTGCCTCCTCTGCCATGTACAGCCTGGCCAGGCGCTCAGGCTGGGTGCAGGCGATGTGAAGGCGTTTTGTGGCTGGTAGTGCGTCGCCAAGTACACCCCAGATGTCTGTCCATGTGATGTTGAGGGTGGCGGACTTTGATGGTTTGATGACGATCTCGAGGATCGTGTTCTCGGGATCTATGGCCAGATCTTCCCAGTCTTCTGGGCCCCAGATGGGGAACTTTTGGTGAGAGGAGGACGACGCTGTGGCCTGCGCCTCCTTTGATGTGGTGAAGAGGGCGGCTGGTGACGAAATGCTTGTGACCATGTATTCGTCTTCGTCGAATTCGACGGTTGCTGTTGTGGCCATGCTCGCTTGCCAGACGGCGTCGCGGAGCTCTTTGGGTAGTTTTGGGAAGAGCGTAAAGGTAGACATGGCGATGGTATTGGTAGTGATGTAGTAATGGGTTTGTCTGGCGTACTGGTATGCGTACTGGTTTTGTCTGAAGCGAGTTCGGACGGGTATGGTAAAATGGTATGAGAGGATAGTTCTGATGAGAGAGAGAGGGGGAAATGGGCTGCCTTTTATTCAGACTCAAAGCGCGCTAACTGCAGTACCGCACTACTCAACGGCGAAGAGTCATAAGGTCGTCTATGTCTTTGCTCCACTCAAAGCGTCCAACGAGCATATTATCACGTCACAAGAATCATGGAGCTACCCTATAACACGACATAACGAATACAATCAGCGCATCGACCAAGAACCGAGACCCGACACTACAGCCCAGAGGTACTCGCCGCGCCATTAGGTGTCTCTGGATACATGATTATATCGCAAAAGCCTTCGGCCAAGAACCGATCCCATTTTCACAGTTGGAGGTACTCGCCGCATCACATAGAATTGTATCGCGCAAGCGTTCGACCAACGATCGAGACCCGATTTTGCAGCCCGGAAGTACGCGCCGCACCATATGGTGTCTCTGGACATATCGTTATCTCGCGAAAACCTTCGACCAAAAACCGAGACTCAGTTTTGCAGCCCGGAGGTTCTCGCCGCACCTCATGTTGTTCCTGGATATGTCATTATATCGCTCAGAACTTCAGGCAACCACTTCAGACCCATAACACTAGAGAAGAGACTCCTGCGATATGGCACCGGTGCAAGAGTTTTCAAGTCATATGATGGCTTCCATACTTACTCTGCGACCACTCGCGATGGCTTGTGGTCTCAGCATGGGCAACGCCCGCTCAGAGACCCCCGGAGTTTACCCAGCTGCCCAAAGCTCAGCCGACTGCGTATAGTTTACCCGAAGTTATGACGAGTGTGCGTTGCTGTGCTCAATCGTCTTAGCGCTAGCAGCCTGGTTTGAAGACATGTACACATCGCGCTTGTTCAAGTTTGTCAAGACACCTGTTCGATACATCATCCGCTTTCTCATTTAATAAAGCCGTAAGATATTTCCTATCACTATTTGCTAGTTTATATTGCTATTTTGGATTGCAGTATCTGCTCAGGTATCGTTCTCTGCCACTCGCCAGTCCAGATTGAGCGCACAGTTGTCTGCTGACTAACTCGTCCCCGCTCTCACATACTCTCTTCACAAACCCAGACCCTCCCATCCCTTCTTCCATGCAGTTCTATCCTGCACCTTCTCCACCCTCAAATCACGGCTCCGAGCCTGTTCGTAGATTGAGTCATCAACCTCGGAGAGTTTCCGCCGCTCTCCTGCGTCGCTTTGGCTAGCGTCGTCATCGCTCTCATCTGGATGTACGGACTGGTCGTTGCACGGACTCTCCCCAAGCTTGATAGTCTTTAAGTTTGGCCATTCTGTGTGGCGATCTAGAAGATGCTTGAGGTAGCGCTTGGTCTCGTGCGTCGAATCCATGATACCGATGTTCTCGATCGTGGTAGGTAGACGACAAGTTCGGAATGTCCCGTACTTGGCAGAGAAGAAAGCGTCTTGTGGGGCATTGAGATTGCGAAGCTTAGGTAATCCAGCAAACGTGGTCATCGGACTTGTATCGTGGATATACTCTTTCATCGTAATGTACCTGACCAAATCCTTGAGCGCGAGCTCAACGTCCAGAGTTAGATCTGTCAAACTGCAGCTCTTCAGTTGCGAGACAATATGCGCGAAAGATCCTCGTGGAATTTGGGGGAGTCGGGATTCGTCATATGGGTCGGCAACAGCGCGGTACAGAATAAAGAGGTGGGTCAAGTTTGGAAGACCGCTAACAACGCTTCTGAATTGACCGTACACACCCACCATGTGAGTGGCTTCATAGAAGTAGAGCGCTTTGAACTCCGGTTGGATGACCAGACGTGTCAAAGTCGTAGAAACTGTTGCACCAGGTGTGATATGTGATGTCATCGTATTGGCATAGTCTATGGTCGCCAGAGGGTCTTCGAACAGGTCGAACCTCGCGGCTTCAAGCCGGGGTAAACTCAGCCAGCTTGATGGTGCGCGTCCATTTGTTGACAACCGTGTCAGGCTAGAGAGGCCCTGGAAGCAATCTGACAAACTCACGTGCCTGGATATGAGCTCGAAAAGATTTTCGACTTCGGCCCAAACAGCGTTGTTCTTGTCTTGTTCGTAATACAATGGTGAATCCAAGGTCGTCAGCGAAAGCGTACCGAGGGCAGGCGTTATGCACAGGATTATCCCGATGAGAGCCGTGTCTACGCCCCTCACCAGCATGTCTTCCCAGTCCTCGTGGTGAAGCGAAACACCGTTCCTTGAATTGACAGTGCTCGTAAAACCCTGGAATAAGGCCAAAAGCTCCGGAATACCGCAAGTACAGTCCTGTCGGCACTCTTCATAATAGCACCCGCAAGATAAGCAGCTCCGGTGATGCGTGAATGACTTGCCGGATAAGCTGATGTTTAGTTTCCGCACTCTGTTCGCAAGATCGGGTCGCTGCAAGAGAGTACGCGCGAGATTTGCAAGACCTCGTTTTGGGGTCGGATTTGGAGAGACTTCCGTGTGTAAGACCTCTTGCGCAATAGGGCATAGCTTCCGGCAACTCAACGCGAGGTGATTGAGATCGTTGTATCCGTTTTTAGTGTCGTCTCGCAGACATTTGGCGACTGCGACTAGGAGCTCGTCTGGGAGGCCACACAAGTCAGTCATGTCGACGAGCGCGCGTGTCTGAGGCGTGGGGTAATGATCTTAGGTGCCCAGGTGAGATGAGAGAGCGATAGCCTGTTCAGTGCTGGGGAGCAGGAAGTCGCGAACAAGCCTAGTCTCGCCCGACTGGGTAAGCTGCCAACGCGCTATCAGCTGACTCTTCTCTCACTTGCATTTTCAGATGTCGCAAGCTCGAGCAGAGTTCACTCACTGTATCGCAAGGTTGTCTAGTGGTCGCGCTGTGCTCTCTGTCAAAGCTCGTGAAGCACCAGAATGTGTCACTACCAGATAACTTTGGATGACAAAGCATCATAGATTTGCAATACAGCCTATCAATCTCTTGAGTACTACTGGTCAAGCTCTCACGTGTTGGCTCCGCTGCGTCCATCCCTTCATCTCTCTTCTCTGCAGTCGATATTACCAGCTTTCGAATGTAGTCATCCTCAGTGCCTAGATATAACAGCGCCCTCGTTGCCAAAAGCTTGGTCACTTTAGTCGCGTTAGATTGTGTAGCTGCTTCGTGTGATTTCCCCTCTTTGGTCACACATGCACTTGCCTTCGATAACTGTTGTGTCAGCTCCACTCACCACCTTCGCGCCTAACTCATAATTTTATCTAGTTAATGTTCCTATACACCTATATTAAGATTTAGACTACTACTTTTCTTTCTTTACTATAGCCTTTATTAAAGGTATCTCTATTATTAATATAATTCTAGTTTTATTTACTAAAACGCTAGTCTAGAAGTAAATTTTTTTTTTTTATAACGCTACTCTTTTATATAAATAGTAAATATTATAAAATTATAAAATTAATTTATAATACTAGCTTTAACTACTTTAACTATTTTAAACTAGTTATATACTAAACTTAATAAGTAGTATATTTACTAAGCTTACTTTTTACTACTATACTTTTTTTAAAAAAAAATTTTTAAAAATTATTAGCTACTACTTAGTAGTAAGCTAAAAAAGTAGTATTTTAATTATAGCTACTTCTTATATATAAAAGTAAAGATAACTTAGTACTATAATATTAAAAACTTTACTTTAAAGTATAAACTAATTATATACTATTATTAAGCTACTTAAATATATATAAAATTATTTTAGCTACTTTTATATTTTAATAAAGTAGCTATACTACTATTATTTTTAGTTTTTTAAGTATTACTTTAAAAAAAGTAAGTAGATAGTAGAAGATCTTATACTATAGTAAAAAATTAAAATATAAATATAAAAATAATACTATAAAAGTATTAGAAAAGCTAAAAAGTTAATAAATAATAAGTTAAGTATTTATTATTATAATAATTTAGTTATTTATTATTATAATAAAAAGTTTAAAAAAAAAGTAGTAAAAAATATATATTTTATAAACTTACTAGTTAAGCTTTAACTCTAGTTTTATAGTATAAGCTATTATAAAACTTATTATACTAACTTATTATAATAACTTATTATATATTTATTATAATAAGTAAGGTAAGTTTTAAGAGCTCTAATAATAGCCTCTATAATAGCCTTAATAATAGTTTATATAATAATTACTAAAATAGTCTAACTAAAAGCTTTCTTTTTAGTAGTAGTTTTAAAGTAGTCTATAAAAGCTTTAATAAGTAATATAGTATAAAAATATAATTAATATAGGTATAAAGATAGAGAAGTAATATAACTAGTAATAAGATTAGCTTTAAGTAAGTATACTTACTAACACTAAAAGAACTTATAAAAGAAGTATTAGTAACGTAGTTAAAGACTTATTTAGTATACTAGTATAGCTTTTAGTATTAAATTTAAGCTACTATTTATATCTTTAATAAGTTTTTAGATTTCTAATTTTACTATAAGCTATAAAATAAAAATAGAAGTAGAAAATAAAAGATATATATATAGAAGTATAATTTTATAAGCTAAGATTTTAGTATTTTATTACTTTATAATTTATAGCTTAGTTAGTTATAAGCTATTAAGAATATATAATTATATTATAATTCTTTTTACTATAGTATAAGTAGATATTAGTATTTATAAAATAGTTATTTTACTACTTTAAATTTTAAAAGCTTTAACTATACTAGAAGTAGTAGCGCTAAAAACTTAAGTTTTAGTTTATTTAATACTTATACTTTTAAATATAGAATTTTAATCTTTTTAGAAATATATCTTTTTATATACTAGTAATAGACTAGTACCTTATATCTAATTTTATAGACTTTATTTAGTAAAAAGATATTAAAAAACGCCTAGCTTTTAAAGTTATTCTAGAACTACTAAAAGATTTTAAGATTTTAATATATTTAGTATATATTACTATTAGTACTAAGACTTCTATATAAACTAATAATATATTACTTTTAAAGCCTTACTAAGAAGAGAAACTTTATATTAAGTAACGCCTATAGTAGTATATTAATACCTTACTATATTTAATCTTTAGCTATTAATATAATATAACTTAAGCTAATAAAGATAACTACTTTATTATAGCTTAGTTCTTAAGAGTAACTATAATAGTAAAATACTAATATAGCTACTATCTATTTAATAGTATTATTATACTAAAAGTAGGCTTTAAATACTTTATTTTCTTTAGTCTATTTATTATTACTTTAGCTAAAAATTTTAATAAACGCTTTACGCTAGTATATAATAGCTACTTTTATTTTTATAAGTAAAGCTATTTATAGCTTAATTTTATATATAAAGTTATAAGTATATATAGTATAAATAATTAATAGATTACTTTAAGTAAAAAAAGTAATACTAGTAATATAATAACTATTTTATTACTTCTTTTAGAGTAAGTATAGCTTATAAAAGAACTTTTATATATTACTAGTAAGTTACTTAAAAGCTTAGCTAAAATAAAAAACTATAAAAAGTTTTAGTCTATATATTAAAAGCTTTTATAGTAGTAGTATAATAATCTTAATAGTATTAATAGTAGTAATAGTTTTAGTAGTTTTAGAATATAATATAAAATAAGTAAAATAAATTTTAAAAGCTCTAATAATAGCCTTTATAATAGCTTTAATAATAGTTTATATAATAATTACTAGAATAGCTTAACTAAAAGCTTTCTTTTTAGTAGTCTTAAAGTAGTTTATAAAAGCTTTAATAAGTAACGTAATATAGTATAAGAATATAATTAATATAAGTATAAAGAGAGGTAATATAACTAGTAATAAAATTAGCTTTAGACTTACTAATACTAAAAGAACTTATAAAAAAGTAAAAATATAGTTAAGAAATTATTTAGTGCTAGTATAGCTTTAGTATTAGATTTAAGCTACTATTTATATTTTTAATAAGTTTTAGATCTTTAATTTACTATAAGCTATAAAATAAAAGTAAAGATAGAAATAGAAATAGAGAATAAAAAGTATATATATAGAAGTATAATTTTACTTACTAAATATTTTAGTATTTTATTACTTTATAATTTATAGTTTTATTAGTTATAAGCTATTAAGAATATATAATTATATTATAATTCTTTTTACTATAAGTAGATATTAGTATATTATTATAAAATAGTTACTTTACTACTTTAAATTTTAAAAGCTTTAACTATACTAAAAGTAGTAGCGCTAAGAATTTAAGCTTTAGTCTACTTAACGTCTATACTTTTAAATATAAAATTTTAACTTTTTTAGAAATATATCTTTTTATATACTAGTAATAGACTTTACTTTTTTTAGACTAGTTTACGCTATAGAATTAGTTTACTAATAAACTAGTAATAGATCTTACTCTTTTTAGACTAGTTTACGCTATAAAATTAGTTTACTAATAAATATTTATTATAAAGTTATTTTTAGCTACTATAAGTATATATAAAGATAACTACTTTAGATAAACTTAGTAAACTACTATTACTAAATATCTTTTTTTTTAATATATATAACTAAAGTACTTTTATAAAAAGACTTTTTAGGCTTAAGCGCAAAAGATAGAGAAGATAGAGAAGGTATCTCTGTATTTAACTCTTTGGTGGGTCTGCGACAGCTAGCGCGTCCGTCTATTGGGCAACGACTGCCCGGGCATGGCCGCTAGCCACATCGGCCGTGCCCGGGGCCACCAAACAGGCAGCCATCAGTCTTTGCCTGATACGGCGACCTCCAAGCTGCCGTACATAAACTCATAACGTCTTCTCGACAGCTTTCGCGACCATCTACCGTTTACCTCAAGCTACGAAACTCGCGCTGTCCCAATGGCGTCTGATCCTATCCCTCCACCCTCCAATTTTCAGCCACAAAGCCCGCTGTTCTATGTCATACCTGGCGAGATCCGTAACGAGATCTTCCAATTGGCGCTCATGCAGGATGAAGACAGCGCAGCAGCGTATCCGGAAGACTCGTACTGGTACCGGCCAGGTTTCTCAGGTCCGCTCAAGGGCAGCAGTGCGCTTTTGCGCACGTGCAAGCTCGCGTACGCGGAGGGTCAGAAAGTGTTCCTCAGAGAGCTGGAATGGGCTTTTTGGTTTAGTATGTTTATGCGAAGCCTGTGACGTTGCGCTAAACTGATCTCGGCCCAGATCGTGGACCGGATGGCCGTACATGCACTCCAGCGTGTGAAAGGTTCTTCCGCAACCTTACTCCGCAAGCCGTTCAGTCACTCCAGAAAGTTCGTTTCTTCACGCAGATGTTCTGGCTTGAAGAGGGCCCTCAACTGTTCTACATCTTCAGCATTCCACAGTTTCGACCAACCCAGCTTACTATTACCATACGATACTCCGATTGGTGGTTCTGGGAAAGCAATGCGCCACTGAGTATGGAAGAAAAGTGGCTACGCTACTTCGAAGGAAACCCCGGCTTGCGCGTACTGAGGGTTGAGTACGAGACGCTCAGTTGGAAGAAAGCGGAGATGATGCGCATCATCGAGCGAATCAAGCAATGGAAACTACCTGTACGAAGAGAAGGTGGCAACTTCCAGAATAATGAGCTCGAGGGATATCTGAGCGCTGAGAACACTGAGCTGAAGGAATGGACTTGGAAGGGCCCAAGCAAGCTGGATGGACAAAGTTGGATTCACCACGGTACCGAAGATAAGGTCGAATACGTCGTCGTAACGGATACCTGGAAGTTTGTGGAAGGCGAACTCACCGAGAAAGAGATGGAGGGCCGGCTGACCACTATGATGCGAGCACCTGAGTTGACGCGGGCCGAGGTGGAAAGACGCCGCAATATAGGCGCATGGCGTGGGAGACTTCGGGAAAGGAAGACTACACAGTATGCAGCTTAGCAGGAAGGTAGCTTTCTAGCTGGGAGGATTTCGGGCCACCAGAACTACGTACATGGATATGTCTCTCGTGAATTTCGGTTCAAGATTAGCCCCAACATATCATGGTATCAACATGCCTACCTTGTCTTTTCCTCCTATCTCTATCTATCCTTGGTTATCTCAAGAATAGCCCCGATATGATACACATATTGCGTTTACACATATACAAGTAAACATCAGCAGATCGATGCGCGCACCGCACGAGGCTCCGGGACATCTGGAAGGAAAACAAGAAACGATCAGACAGCTTTCAAGAACATCAACAATGCAAGCCTCCCCACTTTCCTGTAGGCGCCGGTGCAGACAACCCCCGGTCAACCTGCAGGTATACGTGTACTACGCTCCTATTGGACAAACGTGCACTTCCCGTAACGTCTGAGGAACGTTATCGAAACCGATAGAAAGTCGTTGAGTCTCATACATATCATCTCATATTGGCTACTTTTCACTTTGGGACCTGCTCGGCAACAGTAGCGCCTTCTTAAGCTTTAGCACACATTCTCTGGCCGTCGCCATGGCCCAGTCGCGCTCTCAGCCAATGGCTGATGGAACAGCCCTTCAACTCATGTCTACCGGAACGAGTTCGATACCACCTATAGGACCGCGGAAGCTGGTAGAGAGGGAGTCCGAAATCACAAAGCTTGAGTCCGCCGTCCTGTATCCCCGTCTGGTACTTTTGGAAGCCCTTACTAGATTCAAAGACGGACTAAAGCAACGAGCAATGTCCAGCGACAAGACACGCGAAGCCCGGCGAGACTTCTTGGATTCTTTCGCTTATCTTTGTGACGTGGAGAAAGGCGGCAAGACAGTCACAGCGACTGCATTACAAATGATGGAAGTAGAAACTGGCGACTGCCTCTGGTTGGCTGCAAACGAAGGAATACGCGAAGAGGTCTTGTTCTATGCACAGAAGATTCTGAAGCGCGCAAAAGCTGCAACTGTGGAAACTCTCCGTGTTGTTCAAGACCGTATCTTGACCCTCAGTGTGAAGAAGTGTAGACCAAGGATCCACTTCTACAGAGATGCGATAAAGAGACACGCACTCCAATGCAATGAGGCTCTCGAATGCGTTGAAAGAGACGATGTTGGTATGTTTCCCATATCGGCGCTATGAATATGCGCTTACTACATAAGTCAACCTCTTGAGAACCAAGTTGGGGCAGCTGCTTGAGCATCCACCGAGTACGAACCTGGAAGCCTATGTCGACCTTTGCTATGGCATGAGAGGCGAACACATCCGGGCCATCAGATCATATTCCAAAACTGCGGAAGATGGCTTTAGCCAATTGGCGCATCATATCTATCGCTTGGGCGCGACACGTGACGCCGCAAACAAGGTTGTCGAAGCCATGACGCTCGTTCCTTCGCTTCAAAAGATCTCTAAGATACAGATCGTCAATACACCCCGGATCGTGAAGAAGACCGTCTCACCGGTCCGTTTGATTCCACATGAAGTTTTGTACTCTGTACTCGAAGAGACCAGCCCAAGTGATCCTTTGAAGTTTCAACAGACGTTCCTTCGGCTGTATCACTTGGACCCATTACCATCAAGACCAATATACAACCACATGGCCTCGAAAGAAATGGTGGTGACCAGAGTGCACGCCGAACTCCAAATCGCAGACAAGTTCGCCAGGTCGCAGGCCATCAACTTTGTTGACAACGACAAGTACATCGGGTGTAGCAAGCCAGCGTGTTATTTCTGTTACACCTGGCTTTGCCTTCACACGCAGGGTTATTCTGAGCCTGCGACCCACTGCAAAGTTATACCCGGCTGTCGCGGACCAGACTATGAGCTGAACGATGCGGGGACGGATGTCATGTTGTCGATGTACCGTAAGATCAGCCGACAGGTGGGACAGGATATCTTTGCGTTCCTGGAAAAGGATACGCCGCCACCAAGGGTACCTTATATGTCTACTGATGCTGGAAGTCGGGCGCCGAGTCGAATGTCGGGTTTTTAAGAGTGAATATGGACCATATCATATCCAAGACGATATATGCGTGGGTGATCTAGGCATTATAATGCACATCCCTTTGGCAGTCATTACGACTGCAACACTACGAAAAGTCTCCACACTCCTACTACCCGTGACCAGTTTTGATATCAATAATTCTCAGCGCTCGACAAACCTCAACTCCAACTTTTCTGGTTGTCTGACATGAAGCAGCAGCGGGTCTGCACATGAGTCCCGCAAAATACTCATCACCTTCTGTCCAGCCACACCCACCTTCTCGTCGTCTTGACACACCACTTCAACCCGAACCTTTTCTAGGACGCTACTCAACACACTGCAAAACTCCACCTTACTAAACTTCATTCCCGGGCAGATCCTTGGGCCAGTCCCCCATGCGAAGAATCCACTACCACTCGTTGGGTGCTTGAGTTCTTCAGCAGACAGTATCTCGGGTAGAGTTACCTTGCTACTGCCGGCGGATTGCGACTGAATCCAGCGCTTCGGGTTCCAAGTAAGCGGATCGGGGAAGTTGGCGGATGAGGTGTGAGAAGCCCATGAGTTGAGCATGATTTGGGTGTTAGCCGGAAGAACGATATTCTCATGGGCTTTCTTGGAATCTAAACTGGTCTGTGGGATAGTACGCTGGGGATATGCAGGGAAGGGCGAACGCGGAAGAGGCGGCGAAGGACTGTAGAGACGTAGCGTTTCGTACTTGCAATTCTGTTAGTCTTCGATCATGCGATGCGTAACAGTAGATGACTGGTGTTGATGGCGAATGAAGACGTACCATAACAGCGATAACCCTCTTCAGTTGCGGGAACATTCTTGCATACTCCGGGTCATCAGTTGCTTCGTCTTTCAGGACTTCATCCAGCTCTTCCACTACCCAGTCTTGGACCTCAGGGTGCACAGCCAGTAAAGCCAATGCGTATGATAGTGTGATTGAAGTAGACTCCAGTCCACCAACTGTGAAAATAAAGATATTGCCTCTTAACTCAGCGTCAGATAGTTTAGCTTTCGAACCCGCACTTCCAGTGTTGGTTGTATCGTTGGCCCTGATCAGCGTACTGATGAGTGTAGCAGCTTTGGGTTGCCCGTCAACCACTTTAGATCGCTCTCTGACGACAGTCTCGTCCATGTACTGCCGGAACTCACGCACAGCGAGTAGCAGTCTCTTAGTACTAGTTGGAAGTAGCGATTCGAGTACGGGCGATTTGAAGAGTGGCATGATACCCTCTATAGCCGGTGAGATTGAAGTACTCATCACCGTCACTAGTGCATCGCGAAGTGACAGTTGGTGACCTGGTGCCGGTTCATTGACTTCTGTATTCTTGAAAGCGACTGAAGAGATGACGTTGAGCGCCAGTGTACTGGTATCCTTGATCATGCTGTTCGTCCTTCCGCCGGGTGATGAGAGCCAACGCTCGATCATGTTTTTCGACTGTTGCAGAGCTTCGTTCCATACCGTGGCTGAGGCTCGCTCGTTGAAGCATGGCGCTGTGAGTTTGCGATGACGGATCCAATCATCGCCATTTGACTTTTTGCGTTAGCTTTTACGGTCCTGAGTACGAAGGAGATGGGATGAACTGCGGGTTTCTAGAGCATATGGCACATACCGTGTCAACATTTTGCCCAAACGTGCCCAATATCTCTACAGCCACAGTCAGTTACCGCTTCCAGTGTCCTATCACACATCGTCGGACTCACCATTTACATTATCCGGCTTTACATAACCCCTCCAATCCTTGAGTACATGTTCAATCGTTCTCGGATCACTCGTACATAGCACATTATGCCCTGGCGCCACCACAATGAAGCAGAGACCAAGTTCTTGATGTAACTTGTCGTTGTCTTGCCAGCAACATGTCCAGTCAATGGCCCTGAACCACCGGTATCTTTCCAGGTAAGTTCGGAATAGACTGGCTACCAGCTGCCATTGTAGAGTATATGGAGTGACAGGACTTATGATGATGCACAAGCCAGACTTACGTGCGGACGCGTAATTGCGATAGAGTTGGTACAGCGGATGTGTGATAAAGACGTGAGCGAAGAGGCAGATTATTGTTGCGATGATCATCTTACCAGGATTTGGTCGATGATGTGAAACTCTGATTGACTACGGGCACCTTGGTGTAGCTAGAATTCAGATGCCACTGGACATCTGTGATCTGGGTGTCCGCGCGCTGAGATTGCACATCACGCGGGGTCACACATGCATCGTGCTTATTGAGGCAGGCGCAACTTGATGTCCAACGAATGAATATCAAAAAGTCGACTTCATCCGACTATCGACTTTTCACTTATGCGAAGATACGAACTATCAGACAGAGATAATCGCATAGCAGCAGAGGCATGAAAACGCAATGCGCACGCGCAGCGCGCATGCAGGCGCATATCACACACGTGATGTCATCCTACTCTACATCACAACCTCCACGAGCAAGGTTGCAGCAGTACAATCCTGCCACATCTGAGACACGAGCAAGCCTGCGCATGCACGCCTCACCGAGGCACGTCTGCAATGCAGGGTCAAAGATACCGAACGTGTCAAAACATGCAGAGCCGACCCGCGACGCACGTCAATTACTCGACAGGAGGGATGCGCCCGTCTTGGGTTGAACATGGCATCGTGGACACTTGCAACATTGAATGTTTGATCTACAACATGTGTTCGCAGGAGATTGCGGATGGGTATTCTGCTGGTTTTACCGTAGTAGCAAACTTGTATGTTTCAGGCTTTAGCCTGGCTTGTTTCATGGATCTGGTAGGTGTGTGTGATTCGGAGTGGGTTGGGGAGAAGCATTAGCCGGCCGCGATGAATGATGATGTCGCGATGAGAAGCGCAACGGAGCCGAACGTGTCGGGGGATTGTCAACTTTCCCGCGAATTGGAATGCAGTCGTCAACAGTAACGGTGATGTTGTTTCCACAGTTATTCCATACCGTTGATGTCAACAAAGGCAAGGCAATGGGACCCAATGCGTGGATATGCGCATGCTGCATGTACATTGAGGCAGAACTGTAGGTACGCGTGGGGAGCAGTCGGTGGTCGACACCCGACATTGCCGTCTGCGATGCGGGGTCAGAAGGCAAAGACCTAGTATTGGCGGTTGCAGGGTGTGTAGACGTAAGTATACATGCGTGCTGAAAGGTAGCACCACGCTATGACACCTGGTACCGTGGTTCGCATAATGCGAACCCAGCCACAAGGCAGGCGCAGCAAAACTCAAGCAACTTCAACATGACTAAATGAACTACGACGCTGGACTGCAACACGATCAATGCGCGAGTTCTCTCGGCCCGCGATGCATGCAGAGATTTTCCTACCAGATCAGCCCATGTTTCCCAGCCACCCCGGCGTATCCCGGGATGGCTGGCTGAGCACGTTCTCCTCGGTGTATTCGGATAGCGATGGAAGAGCTCGAGCATCCTGTGTGTGGACCACCGTTGACGCGTATCTAGCTTTTAGCAACGCTTTGGCGTGAATAGCCCGGGCCTAGGCGTCATAGCCCGTTACATTCGGTGAGTAGTCCGTTCGCATAGCCACGGATTAGAGGTTCGGCCAAAACCAGCTCGGCTCGAAGTGTTTTTGCTTTGCTCGGATACGACAACACGACCCGGTAGTCCTGATTTTGATTACCTATCGAAACACGCTAGACGATTCGAAGACCAGAAGGGCAGGCGTAGGTGGTAGAATATCGCGCGATGCTCTCGGTCCTGTGTAGAGACCCTCGGATGGGAGCTCTAGAATGCCGTCATATTACCGACGCACTGAGGTATATTGACCATGCCTTTAAGCGACGGTGGTGATTTATCCAGCCGCCCACTACCAAGGACGCGGGTAACGCACTTTGCTTTCCCTAGCGAGCCGGTGTAGTATCGAGAAGATATCGAAGGTGGCGTGTTTCCAGTAGATAGCGCAATAGCGCTTGCACGCGTTATCTGTTCGCCTGTTGCCCGGCGAAAGTACGTCTTTGGATAAAGATGAGTCGATGTATGGAGCGTCGATACCGGTACAGCCGCGTTCTGCAGTAGTATACCGGGTCGCTATGTGTCCATACAGCTGGATCCGACGGTCAGTACAGCAAGGACGTCGCGGTAGGCTGAATGCACCCATGGAAATCCATCGCCGCCTATGCATAGTTGCGCTGAGACCCTTCTTAGAACGTATGTTCCTCAATTCGAGTCATTCCAAGGTTCTTGATCATCGTATGTAATCCGCTTCATAGCGTGGGGCATACTGCAGTGTACCCTGAATTGTGGCAAGACATACAATTGACGCATGTAGGTATGTCGTGCGGATCATGCACCGCCCTAGCCACAAGCGACTCTGCTGCGAGATGGCAGCCTGCTTTGGCTGCCGTTGAGATGCTGCATGGAGGCGGAAGTCGACATGTGTGCCCACCGGCGACTTTCTGACTCAAGTGACGACTTCAAAACGTCTGCGTCGCTGCCGGCACTTTACAAGTACATACATACAGTGAGCGTGCGGCGCAGCGGGGGGAGCACGGCCGTCTACTTCACCCTAGCTCGCC